TCTGGGAGCTTGGGTAAAACCGGGTTTAGCGGGATTATCTCGGTATACCTCGGTCATTCCCGTTTCGACTTCTGAAATTTTGGGGGAAGCCTCTCAGATAAGGCGGAAAGTGTTACATGATCAAATACTCAAGTTTGACAAGCATCTTATGATGACAATGATGTTTTTGGACGGTAATCCTCCATAAGCAGCAGCCATATATCAACAAAATATCAGTACTACTTGGCAATGGAGTAAAAGGACTATACGGTAGCTTAACATACACAATGGAATGATAGCTAGTACATAAAGTAGTCTACTCTAGTGCTCGTTCGGTTATTCTTACCAAACATGCATACCCTCGGCAATTTCAAGTTGAGTCAGAACAGCAACTGCAAAGAACGCTCCCCCGTGCTTCTCTTCAGAGTTGCGAAAGCGATCAGACATTATGCGCCAATCCTTGAACTTGCCGTTGATGTTCTCATGATAAGCCATCAACTCATCCATTGTCTCTCTCTCATGATCTGGAATATCAAACTTGGTGATACTTGGAGAATGTTGGCAACGATATCCTGCATCAGCGAGGTAGTATTCTCCTTGTGGAAGAATTTCGTGAAGATGGTTCCTTGCGATTTTAATATCCGGCCATTCACCGCATATGAAAGGACCATTGATGCTGCAGATTAGCCCAGTCGCAACAGCGATAACGACCTCATAGCGAAATCCAGGTCCATCAAACTTGTGTGACAGTCTCCCCGGATTGAATGGAGAGTACTCAGGTGAACGAAAGTCGGTGCCGTCAACAGTTACTTTAGCAGGTGCTCCGTTATCATTTATCAATCTATATTCAAAACGGATCTAAAGTAAAGGTTGAGCCATTATCATACGGGTTGGCGACGTTGCACATCTTGTCAGAACTTACCACATTCTCATGGAGGTCCGCCAATGCTTCCATGAAGATATCAGTCCACTTCCGGAACGTCTTGCGCGTTGTACCGGTAAAGATTTTGTTCACTTGTTCAATATTGTAGCACTTCATGTAGTATAATGCCCACAACAGATGCTTCACTCTGCCAGCTCGAGGAAGCTTGCCTTTCCTGTCAAGAAGGTGAAGATTGCTTTGGCACTGGCAAAGCATCACGCAAAAGCCTTTGTGGGACATGAGTGTTTGATGGAACTTCTCAAAGTTCTCATGTGACCGTGTTCTCTAGTTTCTCGACACATATATGTACAAAACAGCATACATTGGCATACACGACCGGTTCGAATTTTTGAATGTTTAGGGGCAGTCGCCGACAGCCCTGCCGGTGACATTTCTGCGACCACATCCACTTGGAGATTTTCTTGAGATCTTCCCAAGATAATCCTCACAATAAAATTGAGATATTCCACAAGATATAAAATTTGTAACGAAAGTGATAAATGGAATAGGCTCGGATTGGCCGTCCAAGGCACCCCAGCAACAGACCAATACCCAAAAGCTTCAACCAATATACCTATCCAGAGATTCGCCGCTTCACTTTGATCAAATCACTTGTTGCAGCGCCGAAACAAGCCCTTCAATATCCTTATTTTCCCCCAAAAGTCGAAAATTCGACTTTTCCTTGGCTCTATATCTTCTGACACAGACCTACAATCAAGAAAGACGCAATGTGCAAGTTTTAGCTTAGGCGTTGAATGAAAGGTTACATATGGCGTTTGTATTCATCAGACCCCAACCAACGACGTTTGATGCTTTCGAATGCCGGACGTTTGTGCAATAGCGGATTATCTTCTATTTTGTGACAAAGATAATCCCAAGATATTCCCGAATTTACCCAACACTATTCCCAAAACTATAAATTCAGTTTTCACGCGGCGTCACGTGTCGAGAGAGATTTTCATAAGTGGTTCCCTTTGTGGCGCCAAAAACAACAATGGCGGCAATTTTGAAATTGGAGAATTCTCACATCAGGTTCGGCCCTGCCTGCGTATGATGATGGGATCAACACTCATGCCAGTTTTAATTCACTCCTACTATAAACATGCCAATCTTGCTTAATCTTGAAATGTCCTCTTTCAGAACACCTTTGACATCTTTGAGAAGCTTCTACTAGTTTTGTACACATCCCTACAGCAATCTCAAGAATGTGTCCTTTTCTTTGTTCTTTTTTTGATTCTTGTCAAAGTTGAAAGTTGCTCATAATTTCCATTCTTCTAGGTTCAGAAAGGCATGACAAGACGTCAAAAAGTGACACCAAAAAGCGCGAGAAAGAGAGCACCGAATTACCAGTCATCTGCCACCAAATTAATCGTTGACGATTTAATTTCAGAAGGTGAACTTCAAACTGAGCTTGAAGTGGACGACGCTTTTGATCTGATTCGCCAGCACTGGTTTGAGGTTCACGGCGAGCCTTATCAGAACGAATACGATCGATCAAACTTCCCTAACGCCTGGAAGAATCATATCAAGAAAGCCATAAACGAAAGTCTGCACAAGAACAGAGATCTTGCACCACCTGAGAGTAAGTTTTGTTAATTGTAAAACGTCTTTGAGTCAGACAAAGTCTCACATGGAATACGGAATCACAGGTTTTCTAGGCGAGATCGGTAACAGCAACATCATGGAGGACAAGAAGCAAATTTCATCATTCGTCAGCCCTGTCAAGAAATCGTGCTTGGCTCCTCCAGCTGGATTTGATCGAAGATACGCAACGGTAAACTCAGCTGGTGCTGACGTCACCACGAGTGTGACATACTCGAACGCGTACATTTCTAGGAAGTTTACAGAGAAGAATGGTGACGAAAAGTTGATGGCGGTCCTTCACTGTCCGAGCGGTGTCAAACCCGAACACTGCAAAGTTTGGATTCAGGGGAATATCTTGTACTTCAAATACAAGCTCCCCAGTATGTTCTCCAAGGCGGAGAGACTTTTCGCTTATGCCGACAAGGATGACATCAAGACCCGTGCATTAGCTCTGAGGGACGAACTCACTCGCTTGAGAAAAGCCGACGAGGAAGATATTTGGTTTACTTCACCCATTCATTTGGAACACCGCTCTTGGGACAACAAGTTGCTTGCTTATGATTTTTCTTTTGGAACAACCAAGTGGAACAATAATTTGGTCCTTGTATCTCAAGCAATGTGTGTTGAGATCATGGTAAAGCCGGCTGACGGTGACAAGGCAAAGGATGCACACACTTACTCTATCTTTGATGATGATGATGACAAAGAGAACGACTAATAATTAGTTTTACGTATTATTCATGTTTCACCAAAATTTCACCAAAAATTACGATGCCTCTTGCGGGGATGACCGAGGTATACCAAGATAATCCCGCTAAACCCGGTTTTACCCAAGCTCCCGGGTACTTTTAGGGAATTTCCCAGGTACTTATAGGGAACTTTCAGGGACTTTTAGGGAATTTTTAGGGAACTTTTAAGGGAACTTTCAGGGAACTTTTAGGGAACTTTCAGGGAACTGTGACACACAATTTTAACAGCGCATCCGCCAGTCACGGTACTAGGTAGAGTGGAGAATTTGTGAAAAAGTCACCTTTCGACCTTAGCCCATTTTGTATATATGACCATTTTCATTGTTAAAACCCATCAGACCTTTTGGGGTGACCCTTTAGGCCTACTGTGTAGGGTCCATTGCTTGATGTGTCCTTAGGTTCGGTCGCTGGCACCATATTAGGCCAATGGTATGACATAGCTAGTAAAATGTAATTTTATGTCATTTCCTTTGGTTGTATTCGAGGATGCCAGTGGCGATTGATGGGCTACAAACTTGCACCTAGCTCATAAGTAGCAACATGGAGCCATATGTGAGCTGTGGGGACTACCAAACTATGTTGGAGAGGGGGTGTAAGCTCGAACAGGGCAGCATGTTTTTGAAGTAAGAAAATGTGATTTTCGTGTCATTTTTGTTTGGCCTTATTGGAGGACCACTATGGCAATTGGTAGACTACAAACTCACATCTAGCTCATAAGGGACCAATGGGGAATAGATACGGGCTGTAGGAACTGTCACACTAGGTTGGATGGGGCAGCTCAACTCCAAATGAAACGAAATTACATTTTGCTAGCTATGTCATACCATTAGCCTAATATGGTCCCAGCGACCGAACCTATGGATATACCAAGCAATGGACCCTATACCGTAGGCCTAAAGGGTCACCCCAAGAGGTCTGATGGGTTTTAACAATGAAAATGGTCATATATACAAAATGGGCTAAGGTCGAAAGATGACTTTTTCACGTGACTGGTGTTCCTTGAGTCGCGGATGCGCTGTTAAAACTGTGCAGTTTTAAAACTGAGTGACGCAGTTTCAAAACTGAGATTATGGTCACAGCAATCTTAAAACTGGCACAAGCCAGCCACACCCCAACCTTGGTTCCCACTATTTCTGCAGAGGTTGTTATCTAGAGCGGTTCTGATTCTGTACTGTAGTGGTGGAAGCTACCCGGTACGAAGACAAGCAACCCATCCGTAGTTGTAGGTCCAGCCCAGCACTAAAAACGCAACCTCAGTTTTCATCTCTTGTGCTGCCGTAGCATGGACTCATTGTTTTCAGAGTCAATTCTTGCTTTCATATGAAGATGAAGAAAGAGTTCTTTGAGATGTCCTTAAGTGGCCCATCTGTAGTAGATGACGAGAATCCGCAGACTCACTCTTCATCGAGGGAGAAGAAAAACGATCTCCAAAAAGAGCAAGTTGGATATTATGCAATAATTCATTTTCACTAGGGAATCTGGAGATAGTTGTTCCTATTTTCGATTTCTAACAAGAGCATAGGTGGAAAACGAATCTCGATTTATATCGCGTAAAACTGCTTTAACCACCTCAATTTATATCGCGTAAAACTGCTTTAACCACGAGAACGACAGCCTGAAAATATGCAGCAAAATGGCTTTTACAGGATATCCCAAACTAGGTCACTTTTGAATTTTGATATATACATGATAGAATATTATATATATGTACCGTACATCACATCTGACTGCGCAATGACTGTGGGTACGCGGTATTTCCGGAAGTTCGTAAAATGACTACGCCCGTCAAGCCACCACTTCTGAGATTGTTAAAGTTTTTTAGCTTTCTCAGTTTTGAAACTGCGTCACTCAGTTTTAAAACTGCACAGTTTTAAAATTGTGTGTCACAGAACTTTTGCGAAACAATATTCCCTCAAAAGACAAACTATACAAATAATAGAGAATTGCACTGTAGTAGATGACGCTATTCAAAGGACGGCCATTCTCAATATCGTATTGAATCAAAACGAGAAAGTCAGTGTAAACGACTTCATGCTTGTCCATAGTATAACGAAAACGAGTTCCAATAGTGTCAAAACGTTTCAATCTCTCGTTGAAGTTCTCCTGCCGCCGAGTTCTAGCCCAAATCTTGAACTCGAGAACTTTGGGGCTGTCGGTTTCTTGAATAATAGATGTGACCATCCAGTGAGCGAAGACAAAGACCTTGTTCTAAACAAGACTTTTTGGCCGAATGTACGCCATTGCCCATCTGCTAGTAGACATGGTTTGGGTCCATGTTTTCGGTGATGTCTCTCCAGCACTGTCCTTGATAGGTTTCTTGGGTTCTTTTTTCGCATCGCTGGTTCTCCAATCCTTCAACTACTATTGTCCAGCATTATCAGTCGCTCCAACATTCATTGTAGGCTATCGACAGTGAAGAGTGCCCTTGTTGATAGCATTGGATTGTCCAAAACCGATGCCAATGGCATAATAATAATTCACAATTTGAAAAGTAACAGTTTCTTTGCGAGATGGGAAAGCAGGGATAGCATTTGGGGAGTCTCAATTAATCTCCCAAAAGTTCCGTATAAAATTCTCTCAAGGTTACCTAAAAGTTCCCTAAGAAAGTTCCCTGAAAGTTCCCTAAAAGTTCCCTGAAAGTTCCCTAAAAGCTCCCTTTTTTCCCCGGGATTTCCAGGATATCCCCGTGTGAAAACAGTTTTCAGTTTTACCGCGTCATCAATGATTAGCGCGCGTTTCACAACCTATAGTCGGGTTTGGCGGTTTCGGTTTCGCTAAATGCCCGAATTTGCCACACTGCCCTGTTATTTCTCCCTTTTTAAAAAAAAGTATTAATGACTTTTATTAATGTGATGATTTATCAAATAGGGACTTATGGACGCGGATGACCGGTTGGTCATTGTGACTTTTTCTGAGATAACTCAAATCACAACGGAATCCTGAGTTATAAGTCACGGCGTTGAGTTATAACTCAAACGTGTGAGTTATAACTCAGACGTGTGTATAACTCAAATGTGTGAGTTATAACTCAAACGTACTCAGAAAAAATCAGGGGGATGATGTTCTCCAATGGGGGAAGGGCAGCTTCAGTAGGTAGTATAATTTTTTGAGCTGGCGGACAACGTTGCAACGTACGGACGGCGAGAATATGACCAAAATGACCAGATCAACGGTGACATGGGCAGACCGCGTTCGGGGTTTCGCAGGTGGATTGCCAGACCAGAGTCGCTTGGTCCCGCGCATAAGAAAAGACTAGTAAATAGGTAAATCGAAGTAGCCACTGGATTGCATGAGCTGCAATGCTCATTCAATCCAGGTAACAACAAATAGATACTGAAATTAACATTCAAAAAAAAGTCCTTTTATCTTTTTTAGACTAGAGGCATAGGCCTGTCTGTGTATTATAGCCCTCTCAGTAGGAGAGCTATACAGCCAGAAATTGGCCTCCAACAGCTTCAAGCGATACAACGTATGAAAGTAGCAATGGCCGAAAAGAAGGAGGAAACAAAGCAGGAGGAAGAAGCACCGATAGTTGCTGTACTTTTGAAATCTAATTTCTTGTCGAATCCGCTCTCTGAATTTTCTTTTTTGAATGGGTGGTATTCAACCCTAGTTTCTTGAAACTCCGATGCTGTAAAGCCAACATGATTTTTTTCTCGATATCGTGTCGCAATAGCTGTTTTGCCCTTGTCAAATAAAACTTGAGCTTGCCACGTGCGTTATGGGTGGTTGTTGGGTGTTTAGCCAGGTCATCAGCCAAAATCAAATCTTCCTGTAACGATTTGTGTCTTGACTTGTCGTGAGCATTGCGCAACTTGATCACGTTTTATTCAAACTGCCAATAGGGGACATCCTCGAATTCTTCCAGCTTACTATAGATCTTGGTACTCCTCATCATTATCAGTTGAAAGCCTCAAACTTTCCAGATCATACAGAATGACCATCCTTGCCGCGCTCTTCCCCCAGTCAATTCCATCCGCTCCTTTTCCTCAATATCTCTGAAGAGGATTTCAATGTCTTCATTGGTCAAAATCACTTTTCCCTTACCTTGTGTTTTTGCGGCGGTGGCATTTGTAGCCATTGTTGGGTCGTTATTGGCGGTCTTGGTGGTCATGATGTTGCGTGACATAGAGTTTGGATCTGGAAAAGTACAGTTCTGTATCTTTTGGCGAAAGTACTGTACCTGGTAGTCGTTGCTTGGTCTGCCAGCTCGAATTTCCAGCAACGGTTTTGAAAAAGGGGGAAGCTCCCGTCGCAATGAGTTATAACTCCCAACTTCAGGATTCCGTCTATTGATATGATTTGGAATTCGAACTTTCTTAATGACTCTGCGATCATCAAATGACCCGCTGTTATTTACAGAATTAGGATCAGAAAATATGGAAAATATCATAAGTTGTTCTGGGAAAATGACATTGTTTAAAAACTGAAATATATTTAAAAGGCACGGATCGCTCAGTGAAAGACGTCAGAATTCCCACAGTCGACCCCACGTGGTACGGATTTTTGTCATTTGCCGGGTGTTCCAGAACTGTAATGACCTTGGAGTGACCTTGGAACTAGATTAGATCCTTTGGAGGTACAGACATAGCTTTAGGCCTAAATCTCACGTCACTCCTTTCTGTGGCTTTCTGAGAGACTCTATAACTTTTGTTGTGACCCATTCCTATCTCTTCTTCTAGGCTGGTTCACTATTCGAATAGCCATAAGGCTTAGATTGAAGACTAGAAGAGTATAATCACACACACACAAGCAATTGCCGTTTGACTTGATCGAAAAACCTCGATCCTTTCAGATTTTCAACTAGTTTCACACCAGGCAACAACACAGTCAAAACTACTATGCTGAGTCGCACTACAATCAAGAAGCTGAAAGCTTTGCTGCGGAAGGCAGCGTTCCTGAATGGAACCAAGACGGAATATCGTATGGTGGAATGCCAAGTGCCGAGCAGGACCAGCATCAGGAATGGAACGATCAATTCAACTTTGAACAGGAAAAATATTATCCTGAAGAACAGGAGGCGCAAGAATGGTCTTCGCCAACATTCATCATTCCAAAGAAGGACGGTAGGGTGCGATAGATCAGCGATCTCAGACAGCTGAAAAAGACTGTCAAGCGTAAAGTATACCCCTTGCCTTTGATTGATGATATTGTTGCGCGTTGTTCTGGCTACCAAAATTTCACAAAACTTATTCTTTGATAACGCAATTGCCGATTGCTTCTCTCAGCTTCCGCGAATGGAGAAGCCGTCTGAAGCGAAGAGTCCAAATAAAGCGAAAAGAGACAGTACAAGATCAATGAAAACTTGAGGAGACAGAACGCAAAGCAAAAAGAATTTGATTACAGAATTGCGCACAGATGCGATCCGTGAGAGGATCAACATCACACGGCTTGTGCCGTTCCGTCGAGTCTAATGGACGATATGCTTGCATCGCCCATTGCGTCAAGAACCACCTCTGAAGTTGAATGGAGAATCAAGTGGATGTAAGGACGCCTTGTGACTTTTAGTGTATGATCATTCAACTTGCTCTGATCATAGAATGGAAGAGTGTAATGACCTTGGAGTGACCTTGGAACTAGATTAGATCCTTTGGAGGTACAGACATAGCTTTAGGCCTAACTCTCACATCACTCCTTTCTGTGGCTTTCTGAGAGACTCTATAACTTTTGTTGTGACCCATTCCTATCTCTTCTTCTAGGCTGGTTCAAGAACAACTTATTTTTGATATTTTCCGATCCTAATTCTGTAAATAACAACAGGTCATTTGATGGTCGCAGAGTCACTAAGAAACTTCGAATTCCAAATCATATCAACAGAGGGAATCCTGAAGTTGGGAGATATATCTCATTGCGAGGGAATCCTTGAGTTATAACTCAAACGTGTGAGTTATAACTCAAATGTGTGAGTTATAACTCAAACATGTGAGTTTTTACTCAAACGTGTGAGATTTTACTCAAACGTGTGAGTTTTTACTCACCAAGCCGAGTTTCCCCCTTTTCCAAAACCGTTGCTGGAAATTTGAGCCGGCGGACCAACGACTACTTTCGCCAAAAGATACAGTACTGTACTTTTCCAGATCCAAACTCCATAAAAAATCTTGTCATGCAACATCATGACCACTGAGACCGCCAATAACGACCCATCAAGGGCCCTTTGTCGTAATGCCTCAGCTGCAAGCAGCCGTACTGCGATGTTTCCAAATCGCATTTTGATTGTATTGTGAGTTTAAAAAAAAGAATTGGCATCAAATTTTTGGCGTGATGGAGGTGATCCCAACGGATGATTTTTCATTTGTGGATCGCTTGAAGCTGCCCTTCCCCCATTGAAGAATGTCATCCCCCTGACATTTTCTGAGTACGTTTGTCACGTCTGAGTTATAACTCACACGTCTGAGTTATAACTCAACGCCGTGAGTTATAACTCAGGATTCCGTTGTGATTTGAGTTATAACTCAGAAAAAGTCACAATGACCAATCGGTCATCCGTGTCCATAAGTCCCTATTTGATAAATCATCACATAATTGATATGTAATTAATACTTAAAGGGAGAAATAACATAGATTTTCCGAAGCTAAAAATATAATTTTATATCTCCGGGCATGAGCACATGGAAATTTGCAATCAGTGTCCCGAAAATACTCGGTCTGAACATTTGCCGGGTGTTCCAGGCCAATACTCACGGTCAACGAATCCGAAAACGGATTCGGGTTGTCAGATTCATCATTTTCATTTTCATTATCATCCAAATTTGCCACAAATTTGCGAACATCATTGACTTGATTTTCACATTCTTTGATTTCATCCTGAATTCAATCAATTAAATCGTCATTTTCCTCATATGTTTCGCGTGTTTCTTCAATTTGCTCTTCATCGTTAAGTGATTCGACATCTTCTTTGTCTTTTTGAATGTCTTCTTCAATTTCTTGAATCTTTTCATTTAAATCCTCATCATTCTGATATTTGTCATTTGGATTGGGATCTTGATCGGAATTTTCATCATCATTTCTCCGTCTCAATGGTTCATAAATACTTGCAACACTCCTGTCTTCTGCCTGTTCTTTGACATTTTTGGTGTGTTCATCATCATAGTTTTCAATAAATTCTTCCGCTTCTTCAAGTAAAGCATCAATTTCATCTTGATCAATCTTTTCATTACGAAGATTCTCATCGCTTTGTTTGTATTCATTTTTGTGTGGAATATATGTATCATCCCACAGTTCATCTGGGTCCACTCCTGCGAGCAAATCAATCAAAGAATGTGAAAATCAAGTCAATGATGTTCGCGAATTTGTGGCAAATTTGGATGATAATGAAAATGAAAATGATGAATCTGACAACGATTCGGACGAATCAAGTGACGATGATAATTATGAAAATGATGAGGTGAATAAACAGGACATATTCAGTCCAAGGAAAACCAGGAGTGGTAAATCTTATTGTTAGAATAAAGCAAAATGTGCTCTATCGTGAGTGCCTTTAGCGCTCAGAACAAACTCTCTGCAATCTAAATTTGTAATCGATTGTACAACACTTTCACGACAATAGTTCTCCTGTGTCTAGGTAT